GCTGAAGAATATATGGGAGTTCCTGCAACTTTTCTTAAGATCTAATTTTTTTTTCAAAGCTGAAAACTTAATTACAAATTCACTCTAGCAGAGATATCAGAAACTTAATTTCAGTGTTATCATGGTATCCAGTGGCATAAACATTTAGGAATATTGAGGGGGTAGCTACCAGTAGAAATGCGTAAAATAAAAGTGATTCTGTCTTTGGGAAAAAAAGGGTAGGTTTCAGAAATTGGGAAGGAGATCTATATATTTTTAAAGATAGACTTTAAAGACATAATCCTAAAGAAATACAGCTGGTTTAATAGGAACTAGTGGAGGTAGCAATCATATAGTGGAAGGAGCACCCGACTCGAGTAGAAAGACATGGATTCCTGTCTTATAACATATTCTTGGTTAGGTTAATGCATCTCTTTGAGCTACAGTTTTTTCATTTGTAAACCTGGGATACCAGTTACTTCACAAGGTAGTTTGGTAGATCAATACAATTATGTATGAATTCTCTATACAGTACTAAAAGTACCATAGAGATGCAACCTAATTTTTTAAAACCATGACTCGCCTCCCTTATTACCCGTAACATTTTTTGTGAAACCTATAGTAGGTACTCCATTTGCAGTCTGTGTTTCCACCCACTATCAGGCCTCAAGTAGGATCCAAAACCTCTTCATTTTCCCACAAAAGAATTCCACTTGAGCAAGAAATTTTATTTTACTCTAGTAAAATAAAATACTTTGCTCGAGTAAGTAAAACATCTTATTGAAGAATTTTAGGGGAGACCAGGTTTTTAAAAAAATTTTATTTATTTTATTTTTTTACTACACATGCCCTAGCATTAAAAGGCATCAATATCCTGTCCAGAGGCCTCCTTCCGCTAGTTCTTCCCAAAACGCTTGGCATTTTTTGTTCCTCTGCTCTGGACTCTTTCTTGAATCTACCCCCTTAAGTCGCTCAGTCTCTTCCTTTCCCTTCTTCATGTTGGGCAACTTAATTCTTCCAATTATTTATTTCCAAAAAAAGACTAGTGCCAAGATTCAATGTACTTTTGAAAGCAGCAGATAATTAAAATGACAAGTTTTTTTTCTTGCATACTTGTATTCTTGGGTCTATTTCTGAGCTTTCAGTTCTGTTCTGGCGACTTATCTTTGTGCCCAAACCTCCGGAGAGATGGAGCAGAAACAAGTCAGTGAGCCTACAGAGAGCGCTCTCACGGCCTCAGTCCGCTGGACGCAGGCGCCAAAGATCCACTAAGTCCCACCCACTCGGAGTATTTCCCTCCCCCTAAGCCCGTGGTCTGGAAACCGTGGGGGCGGAAGAGGTGCTGGATAGGAGGCGGGTGGACACGGTTCTCTCCGGAAGGGCTGTGGCTTCCTTAGCCCCGCCCGCCTCGGTAGCTGCCTGAAGTAGTGCAGGGTCTGCCCGCGAGTTGCAGGTCATGGTCCTGGCCGCTCGACTGTGGCGCTTTCTGCCATTGCGACGTGGAGCCGCCCCGGGGCCTCGGCTCCCTGCGGGGACTTCGGGCAGCCGTGGGCATTGCGGCCGCTGTCGATTCCGTGGCTTCGAGGTACCCCCGCGGTCCTGGCTCCCGCCCCCCACCTCTTACCCAGTGGGTTCCTGCTCTCCCTTAACTTCTTCAGGGTTGGCGGCCCCGCGCTGCCTACGGTTCTACGGGAATGTGGTGAACCGAGGAAGGAACTCGGGGCCACTGTGCCTGGAGCGCTTGGCCAGGTCCCTTCCGTTTTGCAAACCTTCACTATCCTAAGCTGGGGCTGTCAGAGAAGGAGTGGGGTTTGCCCCCACGCGCCCCGGAAGCTGCCTCCTACCTGCCCATCCTGTGCGAAACATAGAACAGGACGGGAAAGAACCTTGAGCGCTGTGAAATGATTCTCACTGTAGGCGATGACAGATACAGCAACAGCGCTTGAGGCTGCAACTTTCAGACTTTGATAAGTGTGGGGTGTGATTTAAAAAATTCAACAACTCAGAAGCAGAGATTTCATCCTGTTTAGGTTTTTGTTTAAAAATGATTATTTCTGAGTTGCCTATTTTATCAGCATGATGTCAATGAAGGATGTCGGCATGTTGTAGTATCAGTTCTGGTATTAGACTGCTCGTGGGCCTCTGTTTATTCTTGTCAGGGAATTGGGGAATGGCATTAGTGTATATGATATATTTCACATGAACTAGGTGTTTCATTATTTTAAACTTAAATTTTTAACTGCTCAGTTAAAATCTTTCAGAATTATTATGGGACTGATGGTGGGGAGGGATGGTTAAAAGTTAGGCATATTCCCTTTCCTTGGAAGTTTATAACCAAATGGGGAGGTGATAGATAATATAGGCGGAGAGATGGGAGGAGTTCTAAGTATGAAACTAGTTAGCCTTAAGTTTTCAAATTAGAACAATGAGTTTTAAGTCCCATTGTAGACCTGGTCCCTTGAATTAGCCTGCAATCCCAGCACTTTGGGAAGCCGAGGCGGAAGGATTGCTTGAGTCCAGAGGTTTGAAACCAGCCTGGGCGACACAGTGAGACCCTGTCTCTGCAAAAAAATTTAAAAGCCATGTACATTTTTTATATGTAGTAATTACCATATTACTTGTCTGTAAGATTACTATATTATTCTTGTCTGTGTTCTTAATCTTGTCGGTAAGATTCATTTTTATGATGTGTTGTTGTCTCATATTTTACTTCATGCAATTTGCAATATTCATGCATTTGCAAATAAGTTGTAGCTCTTCCTTTCCAGCAGGAGTGTGATTTTTAGATAAGCTACGACTCCAGGCGATATCTTTTTCTTAATAAGATACGCTTTGAGATCGTTTTACTACAGATTTTGATGAAGTAATTTTTAAGCTTCCAATATCATGATCGATTGCTTTGGGGATGGGAGAAGATTAATGTAATTTTTGCTTGGGGTAGCAGTACCTTCAAATTTTCAAAGTTTGTAACTCTTAACATAATTGTTTCCATAGGTAATGGGAAACCCAGGAACTTTCAAAAGAGGCCTTTTACTCTCAGCTTTGTCTTATTGGGGTTTTGAAACTTACCAGGTTATCTCTCAGGCTGCTGTGGTTCATGCCGCAGCCAAAGGTAAGCATAAATTAGATATATGGAACATTTAGAGTTTTTTTTTGTGTGTGTACATTCAGAATTTTTATTTTAATACAAATAATCAGGGTAACATTAATAATAGAAAATCCATATGGAAATATTCACTATCTACTCAGTGAGAAATGGGAAAACAACTTCCCTAACTGCCAGCCTACTGTTTGAGGAGCCAGAAGTTGACATGAAGTTGGAAAAAGGTCACCTTTTCCAGCTAAACCCCACTCCGTAGCTATGTGCATTTTTATTTGAAGTCTCCACAACCAGCGGAAACAGTTGAGAACTGAGAACTAAAATACTGTTTTTGGCAAGGATTTGGCTAAAGGGTCTGAGATGTGTTAGCACCAAGAAGGGAAAGAGAAATTGAGCAACATATGAAAAAGGGGCTGTAGGAACAAACACTGAAAAAAATAAGTCAACAATAACCTATTTCCATCCAGAGCAAAGGGACAGTGCACATATATTCATACTCTCAAGTGTGGGCTACACTGTACATTGACTCATACTATTTCAAACATGGTCTATTGGAAAGATTCAGGCCCCCTAAGGGCACTTGGCATAGGACCACAGTGACAAGGTAACAGACATAGACAAGCATGGCATGACCCTAAAGGCAACAACACAGCTTTAGATAATAAGTGTTCAGAAAAAAATCCCAGAGCTGAGGTTACAAATTCCAAGTTAGCTATAAACATTCTTTGGGGAATTCCTTTAAAGATATGAGTTGAAATAAAACAGAAAATCTCCTAAAGAACAAAATGGAGAAATAATGAATCTCTACCAAGAACCGATTATTTTAGGTTTCTCATTTGGATGGCTCTCCCACCAGATAGGTGGTGGGATTACTTCAAAAGTAATGAGTCTACTACAAGGAGAGGCTGTTTGGTCCAGTGAGGGGGAACACGCTTTCTAGAAATAACTTTCTCTTCCCTCACCTGCATTCAAAATTAGAACCTATCAACCACCATTAACTACAAGGCCCATATTAGTTAATAATCCTAGATTTCAAGTACTACTACAGGTAAACTATTATCTTAAAGAAAAAAGTTCCAAAGGAAATAAATAACAATTATATAGGCATATGACTTTTATCAGAAATTAAACTTAAGAGTTTCCATCTGCAGGACAGAAATTGTTAAGAGGTAACATGCAGACCTCAGGCACCACATAATATACCCTCCAATAATGAACTACGTTTCTCCCTAAATTCTTCGTATTGGACGCTAACCTCTCCAGCATGAAATCTTCTACTCTGTAACTGCTCTTTAAACACCTCCCTCTAATCTCAATTTCCTTCTGTGTTTATTATTTGGCAAAATTACACTTAAAAAAAAAACATTTCCACCATGGCATATGTATACCTATGTAACCTGCACATTCTGCACCTGTATCCCAGAACTTAAAAAATTATGTAATTAAACCAGAGGGAGGGTGAAATAAATAAAACTCAAGTTAATTTGCCACGTAGAGCTATACGGAAGTGAGGAAGGTGCTCTTACATAAACCCCCTCTGCCTTCCACACTCGTGTGTGTATCTTCTTCCTGATAAGTCTGAGGTTGGGGGAACTGCGCCTTACTTTTCCTCTCCTATATCCCCTAGTGCGGCAATATTAGAAACCAAGGAAGGAAAAGCTGGCCGAGTTGTCATATGCCAAGCGGCCAGTGCCTCCTGAAATGAAGGTAGGTTCACGTGGTCTCTCTTTAGCAGAAGAGAATGTCTAGAAAATAAAATATTTAAAAAACCATTGAAAATCCAACTTGAGGTGTGCATGGAATGCACGGGATAAGAAAGGAATCAGTAGCAGCATTCAGAAGCAGTCCTGGGTTCATCCTGATGACGTGTCTCCTTCGTTCAGGAAGAGGTGCTTTTCCCATGCTGGGAGGGACGTGGAAGGAGGCATGACTTAGACATTGGTGGTGGTCTCCTTAGCAGCCTGGGTGCTGTTCATCTCCATGATGCCGTCCTTCCCAGATCTATTTGCACCATGTGCCTGCCCTTGAAAGGCCCATGTGATATCCTCAAAAGTCCTGCCACGGGTCTCAGGGACTTTGAAGAAGGTAAAGGTCAAGAAGGTGATGAGGAAGCCGATGAAGATGATAAAAAAATCATAGGCTCCTAAACAGTAAGCAGCAGAGGGGAAGAGCAGTCCCACTAGGAAGTTGGAGGTACAGTTGGAGCAGCTGACCATTGCCATCGCAGCTGGGCGGGGGCCCTGGCTGAAGAGTTTGGCCACAATAAACCAGGGAATGGGACCTGGTCCAATTTCAAAGGTCACAAAGACCAAGATAGCCCTGATAAAGACAAAGCTCATCCCATTATACTCATCCTTTAATAACAGTCATGAGCATGGAACAAAAAGCTATCCCTCCAAGACCTATCATATGCAGAGTCCTTCTTCCTGCCCTTTCCAGCAGAAATAGGGAAACTACAGTGAAGGTAGTATAAAACACACCTAGATGGGCTCTTGAACACCCGCATCCTTGAAGATTCTTGTTGAGTAATAGAACACAGCATTGATTCCAGAGAGCTGCCGAGAGAGCTGGAGCACAATTGAAATGATGATTGGGTCTCGGTAGCTGGATACTCTAAAGAGCTCCAGCACGGTTACTTGCTTTTCTTGTGACATCCTTGCACTCTCATCTTGCGTCTCCTGGATGTCTTGGGATACATCCTGGATGCTCCACAATCGCTGGAGGATCTGCTTAGCATTCTCCTCTTCTTTTCTGTTAATGAGCAAAAACCTGGGACTTTCAGGGCAAAATGGAAGGGCTGTACTTTGTAGGATAGCAGGAAGGATGGGAAAGCCCAATAGCACCAGCCATAGCTCTTCAGACCCAAGGATGAATTCCAGACCAAAGATTTGGGCCACCAGAATTCCGACAATGATGCCCAGCTGGTTGAGAGTGCCAAAGGTACCCTGCAGGGCAATAGGTGAGATCTCTCCAATGTACATGGGTACAAAACCTGTGCACAGTCCGCAGAAGAGGCCAATAACCAAGCAGCCCAGGATCAGCATTTCAACCAACTCAGCTACTTTACACAATCCCGTAAGGCAGCCACCAGAGACAGTCAACAGGTGGACGATAAGCATTGAATTGCACCTGTGAAAGTGGTTGACAAAGAGTCAAATGGAAAAGGAGCCAGTCATACCAACAACGGAGAATATGGCCACAGACAAAGACCAGAGGGACATGAGCAGCGTCTTAGAGGGAGGGGTATTTGCCTGGTCCCTCAAAGTGTTATTGATAAATTCCTTTATGATCATCTCAGGAGCATTGCCAAATTGGAAAGAGCCGATTATAGCAACTGTGATGGCGAAGATCAGAGCAGGGGTGACCTTCTGTGTCCCCATGGCCCTAATCTAATTCTTTTCAAGTCTTCAAGAAAGATCTAGGAGTGTGTCAGAGGTGGGAATTGAACAGTGAGAACACTTGGACACAGGAAGGGGAACACCACACACGGGGGCCTGTTGTGGGCTGGGGGGAGCAGGGAGGGGGATAGCATTAGGAGATATACCTAATGTAAATGACAAGTTAATGGATGCAGCACACCAACGTGGCTCATGTATACATATGTAACAAACCTGCACGTTGTGCACATGTACCCTAGAACTTAAAGTATAATAATAAAATTAAAAAAAAAAAAGATCTAGGAGTGGGATTGCAGACACCTTTTTCAGCCAATAAAACCTTCAAATTGTCCTCAGCAACAGGTTTTCTCCAGGTCCTCAGGAATGCTCTAAACTCTCACCATTACAGCATCTCTCAAGTTATTTTTGCTTGTTATTTTGCTAATAGCTTAGTTTTTTTTTTTTGAGACGGAGTCTTGCTCTGTTGCCCAGGCTGGAGTGCAGTGATGTGATCTTGGCTCATTGCAACCTCTGCCTTCCAGGTTCAAGCCATTCTCCTGCCTCAGCCTCCTGAGTAGCTGGGATTATAGGTGCGTATCACCACAGCTGGCTAATTTTTGTATTTTTAGTAGAGACAGGGTTTCACCATGTTGGTCAGGCTGGTCTCAAACTCCTGACCTTGCGATCTGGCCGCCTTGACCTCCCAAAGTGCTGGGATTACAGGCGTGAGCCACTGCGCCTGGCCTAGCTTAGTTATTTTTATATAGATAATGAAACTAATGTTGCTATGGTCTAGATTATTTTCTGCCTTTCTCTACTTGTCAGTCTAAGACCATATATATATATTTTTCCTAGAAATTAGAGCTGCCTCAGTGATGCTTTATTAATAGTTTATATTTTTGTAGAGCCCTTTACCTAAGAATTCAGAATATTCTTTTACATTTTTAAAGGGTCAAGTTTGAAGAGCTGGGGGGAAGAAAAAGGACATGCTACAGAGACCATGTATGACTCACAAAGCCTGAAATATTATACTCTCTGGATCTTTACAGAAAAAGTTTGCTAATCCCTGCTTTATAATGACAAAATGAAACCAATCCCAGGGTGTTATATTCTTCTTGATATGGTTAACAAAAGGCCCAAGTACTTTGAGATAGATAGATTTTTATTTACAAACAGAATGCTGCTTGGTAAGTAACAGGTAGAAAGTGAAAAAAAGAAAAATCCATCACATTTTTTATTGGCATAATATAGATAAGTAAACATATATTAAAACTTGACTGGGCATGGCAGCTCATGCCTGTAATCCCAGCACTTTGGGAGGCTGAGGTGGGGGAATCACTTGAGCCCAGGAGTTTAAGACCAGTGTAGGCAACAAATTGAGACCCCCATCTCTACAGAAATTGGAACAATTAGCTGGGTGTGTGGTGTGTGCTTGTCCCAGCTACACAGGGGGCTGAGGCAGGAGGATCACTTGAGTCCAGGAGGTCAAAGCTGCAGTAAACCGTGGTCTCACCACTGCACTCCAGCCTGGGCAATGGAGCAAGACCCTGTCTCAAAAGAAAAAAAAAAAAAAAGACCTGCCAGTTTAAAAAAATTAGTTGAACCAATTGTGAACCAAAATTTTGGTATATTACAGCAATATCATATGAAAGAATTAATGGCTTAAGCTTTTTTGTTTTTTACAATTCTCACTTTTTAAAAAGGAGAAGGTGATTGGGGAAAGAAGCAGAGACTTGAATTTGAATAGATGGTCTTATTAAACTTCTGATAGAATTTGAGAATGTGATCTAAAGGTTGATAGTTATCTATTGATTTCATTTATCTATGATTATCTTCTTTAAAAAGCAGATAATTGAGAAACCCTGCACTGTGTGTTTTTTTTTTTTTTTTTTTTAATGTATTTATGAAGAAGGACTTGTTTTGTTACCGGCCGAATGATGTATTTTGGCAAATACTTAATTCATCTTTTTAAAGCAACCTAGACTTTAATTCTCACAGCAGCCTTATAAAATAGTACAAGTCTTATTATCTTATCACATTATAATAATTTTTGAAAAGCTCAGAGTTAAACTTCTTGAAAGTCAAAATGTTAGAGTGGATATTAGAACTTTTTTATTTTGAGACAGAGTTTCACTCTGATGCTTAGGCCACAGTGGCATGATCACAAATCACTGCAGCTTCAACTTCCCCGGGCCCAGGAGATTCTCCCACCTCAGCCTCAGGAGTAGCTGAGACTACAGATGCACACCACCATGCCTGCCTAATTTTTGTATTTTCTGTAGAGACGAGGTTTCACCATGTTGTCTGTTTGTTATGGTTAGCTTTATTGAAGATCACATAGTTGTAGATGTGCAGCTTTGTTTCTGAGTTCTCTAACCTGTTCCCTGGCCTATGTGTCAGTTTTTGTACCATCATGCTATTTGGGTCACTGTAGCCTTGTAGTATAGTTTGAAGTCAGGTAGTGTGATGCCTACAGCTTTGTTATTTTTGCCTAGGTTTGCCTTGGCTATTTGGGCTCTTTTTTGGTTCCATACAAATTTTAGGATAGTTTTTTGTAATTCTGTAAAATGATGTTGGTAGTTTGATAGGAATAACAAATAGGAATCTGTAAATTGCTTTGGGCAGTAAGACCATTTTATCAATATTGATTCTTCCTGCCCATGAGCATGGAATGTTTTTCTATTTGTTTGTGTCATCTCTGATTTCCTTTTCATTCTGGTAAAAGATCTAACTGTATTCCTAAGTATTTTATTATTTTTGTGGCTGTTATGAATGGGGTTGCATTTTTTATTTGGCTGTTAGCTTGAGTGTTACTGGTGTATAGAAATGTACTGATTTTCATACACTGATTTTGTAACCTGAAAGTTTACTGAAGCTGTTTATCAGTTCCAAGAGCCTTTGAGCAAAGACTGTTTTTGGAGTTTTCTAGGTAAAGAATCATATCATCTGTAAGGAGACATGGTTTGAGTTCCTTTCTTTCTATTTGGATGCCTTTCATTTCTTTCTCTTGCCTGATGGCTTTGGCTAGGACTTCCAGTATTATATTTAAAAGGAGTGGTAAGAGCGGGCATCCTTGTCTTGTTCCATTTTTCAAGGAGAATGCTTCTAGCTTTTGCACATTCCGTATGATGTTGGCTGTGGGTTTGTCATAAATGGTTCTTATTTTGAGGTGTGTTTCTTCAGTGCTTAGTTTGTTGATGTTTTTTAACGTAAAGTGACGTTGAATTTTATCAAAAGCCTTTTCTGTGTCTTTTGAGATGATCATGTGGTTTTTCTTTTTAGTTATGTTTATGTGATGAATCCCATTTATTGATCTGCATGTTGAACCAACCTTGCATCTCAAGAATAAAGCCTACTTGATTGTGTTATATTATCTTTTCAATGTGCTGCTGGATTCAGTTTGCAAATACTAATTTAACTATTTTTATGCCTATATTCTTTTTTCTTTCTCTGTTTATTAAGATGGGGTCTCACTCTGTCACCCATACTGGAGTGTAGTGGTGCAATCTTGGCTTACTGCAACCTCTACCTCCCAGGCAGGCTCAAGTGATCCTCCCACCTCCACCTCCTGAGTGGCTGGGGCTACAGGTGCATACCACTACGTCTGGGTAATTTTTTTGTATTTTTTTTTGTAGAGTTGGGGTTTCTCCATGTTGCCCAGGGTGGTCTTAAACTCCTGAGCTCAAGCAATCCATCCACCTCAGCTTCCCAAAGTGCTGGGATTACAGACATGAGCCACCATGCCCAGCCCATCTGCCTTCACGCGAGTTAATGACTTGAAGTTTTCCTTTTCCATTGTGTCTCTGACAGGTTTTGGTATCAGAATGATGCTGGCCTCATGGAATGAGTAGGCAAGAGTCCCTTCTCTTCAATTTTTTGGAATAGTTTCAATAGGATTGGTACCAGCCCTTATTTGTGCATTAGGTTGCATTTGGCTATGACTCCATCTAGTCCAGGGCTTTTTCTGGTTGGTAGGTGTCAGGCCTCTGAGCCCAAGCCAAGCCATCGCATCCCCTGTGACTTGCACTTATACGCCCAGATGGCCTGAAGTAACTGAAGAATCACAAAAGAAGTGCAAATGCCCTGCCTTGCCTTAACTTATGACATTCCACCACAAAAGAAGTGAAAATGGCAGGTTCTTGCCTTAAGCGATGATATTATGTTGTGAAATTCCTTTTCCTGGCTCATCTTGGCTCAAAAAACTCCCCCACTGAGCACCTTGTGACCCCCACTCCTGCCCGCCAGAGAACAACCCCCCTTTGACTGTAATTTTCCTTTACCTACCCAAATCTGGTAAAACGGCCCCACCTTTATCTCCCTTTGCTGACTCTCTTTTCGGACTCAGCCCGCCTGCACCCAGGTGAAATAAACAGCCATGTTGCTCACACAAAGCCTGTTTGATGGTCTCTCCACAGGGACGTGCATGACAGTAGGTTTTTTTTTTTTTTTTAAACTACTGGTTCAATTTTGGAACTTGTTATTGGACTATTACAAGGATTTCAATTTCTTCCTGGTTCAGTCTTCAGATGTTTCTAGGAATGTATCCATTTCTTCTGTGTTTTCTAGTTTGTATGCATAGAGGTGTTTGCAATAGTCTCTGAGGGTTTTTGTTTTTGTTTTTGTTTTGAGATGGAGTTTCACTCTTATTGCCCAGGCTGGAGTGCAATGGCGCAATCTCGGCTCACTGCAGCCTCCACCTCCCGGGTTCAAGTGACTCTCCTGCCTCAACCTCCCAAGTAGCTGGGATTACAGGCACGTGCCACCACACCCAGCTAATTTTTTGTATTTTCAGTAGAGACGGGGTTTCTCCATGTTGTCACTCTGTCTCAAACTCCCGATTTCAGGTGATCTGCCCGCCTCAACCTCCCAAAGTGCTGGGATTACAGGCGTGAGCCATTGCACTTGGCCTGGTTTTTGTATTTCTCTGGGGTTGCTGTTAATATTCTCATTGTCATTTCTGATTATGTTTATCTGGATCTTCTCTGTTTCTTTTTCTTTTTTTT